GATTTTCAATTAACTGATAAAATTTAATTTCTGATATATAGCATATTCTACTTTATGTACTTACTTCGTTACTTTTGGAATCGGTCAATTCTTGCTTTCTCTTTCGTTTGAAGAAACCCACCTACAAGATATTAGTTATAAGAAAAAGCATAGAAAAACTGCATTTAATTAACAAAAATGTTACCATTTTTAAAATCACGGCGAAGATGAGTAACAATAACAATCCAACTAATACAGAAATCAGGACAATCCATAACTGTAACTTTTCCACTTTCGGAATGTCGTAAAACACTGTTGTAACTTCTATCGTAGATCTACGATACAGTTAACAATAATTATTATAAATGAATATTCACAAGTGTATCTACGAACGAAATGATTACCGAGTCCCATTTATATGTAGCCTTGTTTTGGGCTTTGTTATATCTATGCTTGCCTCAGTAGAAAATTTTAGAACGGTTCCGTTATTCTTGAATGTTTCTGAATTGGAAAGTTTAAATTAAATGTGATTGCGAATTACGCGATGCATTTGATAAATCATATGTGCAATTACCTTTAAGTTTATTAACATCCAGGATAAACTTGATCACCATCTTTCCAATGTCCTGCAACGTTCTTAGTGCATTCAAGTGGCACGTTATGGTTGTACAATTTGCCTCAGGGATTGAACAGTTCATATGAATAACATTATTCGACCGACTTTCGTTCAAAATTTGCGGATCCTCGATGTTCCCTATATCGTGAAACCATAAATATGATTCTTCTAAATCTCTTTTTCTTAATACGTGTCTTTGTATTTTATTACTGAACGTAGACATGGCGATTTCATTTAAAGAAAATTCATTTTGCGTCCCGCGTGCGCTGTTTTCCGGTAAAGTATTTTCCGTGAAACAGTCATAGCGTTCCCCTGACATATAGAACTAAGCATGGTTTAAAAAACAATTAATCAATCGGGAAAAATAAGTAAATTAAGCTGTTAAATTTATACCTGAGGATTATATACGTGCACAAAAGTCTCCGATCCCTTAAGAGCCAACGGCACTTTAACAATAAGTTTCGCATCTTCTATAGGCGATGCTCCGAGTTTGTATACTTGATAAGCGTGTTGAAAGGTAATATTCGGAGCTGCCTCGTTTAAAGTAGATAAATAATAAGCTTCCTCATTTGCTTTCCTGTTTAGTAACAACCAATAAACATCAATCACACGTTGTTACATATTTTGTAAGAACTCACAAAGTTCTGGAACATACGAACCCTTGCAGAGATAGAGAAACTTCGTTCACTAAACTGAGTGTTTTAACTATGCTTATCATTCCACGATTTATACTACGCGTCTTTATCTTTACATTAAAATCTAACTTATTGTTGTATAACGAACCATTAATTAAGTGTTTCATGTCCAAGTCCAGTTTAACGTTTTTCTATGAAAAAATGAAACATACAATAATTTTTATACAACAAAATCTGACTTGGGAGTAAGATACCTCCTCATCTTTCCAGATAGGATTTCCGGCTTCACAGATCACTCGTAAATTTTGTTTAGAAGTGTCTTCCTGACAAGCCGGTAGTATACTCCGTAATACTACCCCTTCGGGTATCGCGAATTCGAGCATAGTGAGATACGCGGGTTCCCCATGGTTTTTTAAATTTATTTCCAAACTCATGTCATTCGAACCGATCACCCATGTATCGTTCTCTCGCACATTGTAAAATTTTCCAGTCGCGAATATATTCGAGTTGCAGACTTTGTCTGCCCCGCAATCGATATTAAAGGAGAGCAATGTTTGCGCAATTTGCAGCTTATTGTCTCTCCTTTCCACGGGGCAGTATTCACAAAATAAACTTGATGCGTTATCTTGTATAAAATCGTGCTTCGCAAAAATAGCAATTGGCTCAATGAAGTCTCGTATGTTTCTCTGTGAATCATTAATCGAATTAAGTTCAAACTGCTATTGTAAAATTCATGTAACAATGAAAATTGATTATTACCGAGATATTAACTTGAGCAGAGAGGCAATTTTCTATAATAAGAGATTTAAGAGAATTAACAGACTCTAATTCTAAAATTGTTTCTGTGGTCCGCTGGTACCGCTCATCTACAGTGACTGTAATCTTAAATTCTGTAGATAAAAAATATATTCCTTTATAATAAGTCTATTACTATGGAGAAGTTGACTTACTTTGTCCTATACGCAGCTTATTGTAGCCTGTGTACATTGGACATATCTTCACTACAAAATGTGTAGCATTTCTTTGCAGAGTACTAGGTACCGTCTGAATGATAAGTTCTGTTTTCACAACCGGTTTGCCACGAAGTATTACTGCATGTTCCGATTTATATGCTCCGATCGCGATATCCAAATACCTACCCGTCGAGACTTTTATAAGTTTTTGTTCAAATAAGCATTATTATAAAATAAATTCCACAAACCCGTTATCATCGATATCGACCGGATTCGATATCGAAAATCCGAATCTCCGCATATCTTTCAGTAATCCAACGGCTTCAATTCGTTGCGCTACTTGTAGATTTGCATTCTCCAAATCTGGACCACCGTTGAAAATATAAATCACACCATTATCTTCCCAAGGTGATCCCACGATTACATCTGCACTAGGTATAATAAAATTAATAATGTGAAGCCTCTCCCATTAAAAAAATTATCGAATTACCGTCGAAACTATCGTCATCCAAATCACTGCTGGCTATAGCGTAACCGAAATGACTTCCCTCTACCATCCCTTGCACAGTAATTACCGTTTCAAAGTGACCCTATGAAACAAACATTAAAAAAATTAAAGACATTTAATTAATATCAGGCTTCACACTCATGAAGTATTCTTTACCTTGGAGTTACCTAAGTAAGCATACAGTTTGCCATTGTCTTCACCCCAATACGGTGCTCCAATCAAAAGATCATCCAGACCATCATTGTTTAAATCTCCCACGGCCAAACTTGCTCCAAAATATTCACCTATGCTGGTACCATGTAATTTCGTAACAACCTTTTTATCTACTGGATTGATTATTCCTACCTATACAACAATTATTTATACAGATTTCATTAAGGATGCATTGGATTTCAAGAATATTTCAATATTTTTAATGTTTCAAGTTTGAGCTCAAAGTTCAACTATCAAATGTGTAAAAGATTTATTGCTAATCACCATGCCCATGTAATTCCAACCAGGAGCACCACTGGCAAAGAGCAATTGATCTGGTTTGAAGAAATAGCCGGATTCAACGCTGAAGCCTATATGTACATATCATGTGTATAATATCAATTTTAATTAAATACCATTTCTTATAATAGCGAATATTGCAATACCAAATTGAGATAGGTCGTCGCTTGATGGCAACTCTACGGTCATCCTTTTATTCGTATACAATATATCCACGGTACCATAAGTCTCGTGTTTCGGTTCTCCAACTATGCGACTAACATCTTTTTGTTCGTTTCCCTATCATTTAATTGTAAATCACTCGTAGAACAAATCACGTATATCATCATGGTACGTACCTTCGTTCTGGCGTAATGTACAGAGAAACCGTGCATTGGATTATACCAGAAATTCGAGGTAAAATCTAATCAATTGAAGGACACTATTACCAAATTAAACGAATAATTTTCAATAAAACCAACTCACTAATTTCGTACCATGAAACGCGAGATCTCTATCTTCCATCAATAGCGTGTTGGAAGAAACTTTTTCGTTGTAACACATCCCCTGCATGGTGTCTACATAATAATCTTGGTAAATGGTAATAATAATCCGCGGCGCGCATATCTGGAATTTAATATACCAAAAACTGGTTAGCAGAAGCAATACCCTTGTTTTTAATATCCCGCGTACCGTCATAATTCCATGTAATTCGTCTATGGAAATTGCGCTCCCAAACCACCCGCGCCGCTTACGTATCAACATATTCCTCCCGATTTGCTCTATGTAATCCTCTTCGTCGTCGATCCTCAGAGGTCTGATTTCCTCGCATTTTGTTTTTCTAATTGTACAACGATACGCGACGCCGGGTTCGTTTGGATAAGGTAATTTTTTGGTCGAAGAATAGTTCCCTTTCGGCGCTCCAACTATCAACCTTCGTTTATGTAAAATCATATATCACCATTTGAGAAAAATTAGGAAAATTGAATTGCCGACTTTGAAACCTTTTTATTTTATATACAAAGAGTATTACGTTCATACCAGGATGTATCTTCACTCGCTTTACGATACAAATGTACTGTATAACCGAAGTAGCTACCACTATTTTGAAACGTATTTTCACGTGAATAAATAATTGGAAAATCTGTATCGATATTGTATCCGCACGCGAATCCAATAAATAAAAAGAACACTCTTTTAACGAGCATCCTGAGATCGTTACGGATGAACACAGAAACGAACGTGCTGGATGTATCGAGGAAAGAAAATGAATTATCGCACATTTTTGCTCAACCACAGGAAGGACGGAAGATAGCGTAATCGTTGAGAAATGCATGATCGTAATATCGTCTAAACGTGACTCAGAAATTCTTTATTTAATCGAATACATTATTCTGTTATAATAGTCTAGAAATAAAATTTGCTGCTTCCTTCAGTTAAGAAATGATCTTCCCCAAAATTTTCGAACTTTGTGCATGTGCTTCTCAATATCTTTCCTGTAATATGGCAAATTGTCACGTGGGTCATTGTCTGGTAACGGGGGACACTGAAACACATGTAGAATATGTATTTAGATCACATAGTACATTGATTTCTAACTCTAGAAATGAAAAGGAAATAAATTTTAATTACATTGGCTTCTTCTCTCAACTTCAATGCTTTAGGCATCTGATGATAGCTCCTCCTTTCTCTCCTTTCTATAGTTGGATGATGCGTAAATAATCCTAATCGGAGATTCTTCCATCCACTAAGCTCTTCAAATGTCTTCATAATCTGCCAGAATACTAAAATTTCTCTTGGGTCGATGCAACACTGAAAACATGCTTAACATACATTGAAGTACAAGCAAAATTTGTACTAGCAAAGGACAAGATACCTTCGCAGAGAATTGAAGACCAACGTCATCAGCCTCGATTTCTTTGTGTCTCTTGTACCACGAGAACGCAGCGCCTATAAATATATACATAACTGAAGACAGCATGGCTGCTGCTCTTCTTGGGTAAAGTGCCCAAATTACGAATGACAATGTAGGAATTATAAAATCACATATCCTTCCCACAGACAAAGTTTCCGTCTACAACCAATTACATTTATATTAAAACTACATACATGTACATCTCTCTTAACTACGCCTTGGAATACAATTGTAACTGACATTATGAAGAAGTATTTCATGTGCCATTTCATGAGCTAAAATAAACATTAGCTGATCATTGCTTTTAATGAAGTTAAACATGTCATAAATGATAATGATGCTCCTATCCTGAAAATGATTGAATATGTTACTTTTCTTATTAGACCAAAAGTTTGAGTTTTATTTTCGTTTATAATTTCACATACCGCTAATATTAAAACATTGGGTAATGCTGCTATGTTAAACATACGATAAATTATAGTGATACTCCAGTCAGTATCCTCCAATAGTTCTTTATTACAATTTGTTAATTTCCTTATTGCTTTGGCCACTCTGCCATATAAGGGATCAGTCAATGGTAGTACATTATCTTGACTTGCTACTATCCACTTCACAAATTCATCATTATGAGATATATTGTCTTATAACATATTTCGTTTGAAAATACGTACATTAAAAAATAGTCTAGCATTCTCGACTCGTGATTCTGGGTCAAATAAAACCAAACGCGGTCTTCTTAACACTGGATCTCTTTCGAAAGATGTCAGTAAATAAACGATGATTGCAAAAGATAAAAATCCCAAAGAACCTGAAGATATATGAAAATGTATATTTACATCAATTTAATTTTATCTCAAACTACAGTTAATCTACCATGAACAATATTTCTCCGTTGCCTATACCATCTTATATATTTCGCCTTTTGCATGGGAGTTTGTTTCATCCACCATTTCCTTACATAAAATCCACCTAAGATTGAACCAAAGCATAAGCTAAAAGATGCGGGATAATGTAGCTTTCGCGTCGTATGAAAGTTCAATCGCTGAAGTATTAAGCAATGCCATTTTCTATTAAATCTTTGACATCGAGAAGGAAATGTTTCAGAAATTATGCTTGTCACAGTTCTGTTGGTTGTCGGTCGAACGAGTTTGGAATACATTGCATTTATACAATCGAAACCATTATAACAGCTTAACTTTTAAAATTATACTTTAGAAGTTATAGGTATACTCTCGTTTTTGATTCTGGTTTTGTGTTTGACAGAGTTGGGTTAGAATGTATCTGATGGACGGGAACAATGAAGCAGAAGAGAAATTTAAGAGAAGAAACGAGACAAAGCGCACAGTTCAAGATGTAACAAAAGGTAATGAGTTTTTAGAAGGATTAGCGATTAGGATGTAAGAGTGAATGGTTCATATTTTCACATAATGACATTACAATATATGATCAGCTGATACGTGGAAGAACACTTCGACGTCTGCTTTATTTTAGTTGTGGATTTTGTGAATTATCTACGAGAATGAATATTAAACATTGTTCATATAATTGGAAAAATAAATATTTTTATTCTTTTTGTATTTACTTAATGCTACGTGATATTGTTTACATGTTCTACACGTGTTTTGTGGTATATCCATGACTACGTATGATGGCTACCTGAATACAGGTTAGAATAAAAATGAAACGTGATACAAATTTATATATGTATTGGCGCAAATTGATTAAAATTGATTTTACTTTTATTTTACTTTATATTAATGGTTGACAGCAGATTTATAATCATCCAAACTGCGTAAAACGAAAACAGTGACGACATTTTTGAATACTAATGTCTGTTGCAATCGTCCAATAGAATTTACGTCCATTTTGACATCTGTTTTCATTGGATAACTACATGCATGTATGTGTTTAATGTGTCAAAATACCTAAGACGATGTAGGCGATGTAGGTGTAGGTATTTCAATACAATTAGTTTTTATTATATAACTTATATTATAAAAGATAAAACAGAAATCGATTTGTGTTCATAGTAGAAAAGATATGTCTTCGTTATCTTTTAATGTGTAATCTCCTTCCGATCAAGATCAAATTTGATTGGTTTTATACATGTGATAAGTGAAGAATAAACATCTTTTACATTGATACCTACATAGACATACTTACGTTGTATGTATTTACATATATATACGTACGTTACAAATATTGCAATTCGTAGCCATGTAAAGTGTAAACGTTATCGTAAATTATTCTGTTCGATAAGTATAGCTACGTGACAAGTTGACAAGTATGTTATTGCCTGTGAGGAAAATTACGCGCACTTCTTAAATTACTGTTCAGTAGTTTAAATTCTACGATTACGCCAAAGAATCACCTAAATAAACTGCACTTCATTTCAGTGAAATAGAAATGTCTGCATCAACAGGTATAACAATATTTTAACAGTAATCTTAGTAGTTCGAATTATAATTTTCGTAAAAATATAACAGTCGTTATATTATTTATTCAAAATATATTAAGTATTGACTGCGTTTTGAATAAATAAATTCTGGAAAATTATGAGCGTTGGTCATATGATCTACAGTCTAGAGTTCCTATTCTTTTATTTTATCTTCTATAGAAATTTCGTAGTTATATGTTAAATTAAGAGTAATTTTTACATTTATTATACACTTTATACGATTTAAATGGAAGTGAAATTCGCGTGAAGGATTTTTCGTATAATTAAAATTGAGACGTAATCGTCGCAAACCACGTGACTATTAAAGTTCACATATATATATGTTTCAAAATTGTAATACATCGTGTACGTTATCATATGATATTTTAATTAACTCTATTATATGACATTAATAACATACTTGAATGTAATTAATTTGAAGTGTACAGCGTATAGTGTAAATACACGATGTTTATTTACATTAGAAAGTAATTATACGCCATTGTAAAGTATTCATGATTTTTTTTGCATAATAAATTTGGTATATCTCTAAATTATTTTAATCTGCAGGTAATAAAAATAGTAAAAAAAATGACACGGAGGCAGTAAAAGAAGATTTTAATCCTACTGGTTAGAGTTTTGATTCTTATATAGAAATGATATCAATACAAAGTTCCATGTTTCAACTATTAGATTGATATTTTATAGAACATCAGCATATTCGATATAATCCTTTGAAGGGAGAATGGGTATTAGTGTCGCCTCATCGTACGAAACGACCATGGGGAGGGCATGTCGAACCAAGTGAAGAAGAAGATCTTCCAGAATATGATCCCAACAATCCACTTTGTCCAGGAAATGTTAGAGCTAGTGGACAGGTAATGATTTTGAAAGATTTGTTTCTCCAATTAATTATTACTAAAATAAACAAATTAGAAGTGTCAATTTTACGTGTTCTCATATTGTCTAGATAACACCAATTTATGAAAATACATATTCATTTGTCAATGATTTTCCTGCATTGGTGGAATCAGTTCCTAGTCCATTCAAATCAGATGATGAATTATTTCAAATGGATGCTGCTAGAGGTACTTGTAAAGTAATGTGTTTTCATCCAAAATCGAATGTTACAATAGCAATTATGAAAGTTTCTGAAATTAAAGAGGTGGTTAAAAAGTATGTTGCTAATATGTATTTCCATTCATTCTATGATAATATATATATATATTATGTAATAGATGTCGCTATGATTTATAGATGGATTTTTGAAATGCTCGAGTTGGGAGAAAAATGGACTTGGGTTCAAATTTTTGAAAACCGTGGAACTATAATGGGATGTAGTAATGCACATCCTCATTGTCAAATTTGGGCTAGCTCCTTTTTACCGAACGAAGCAAAAATAAAAGATGGCTTTCTCAGTGATTATTATAATCGTAATAAGAAACCACTTCTTATAGACTATGTGCACAAAGAGCTTTTCAGAAAGGTAAAACACTTAAAATTTTAGTTAAAATTATAAGATTAAATAAGAAATTCAATTCCAAGGTTCTAATGTAGATGTAATTTATAACAACAGGAACGTATTGTATTAGAAAACCGAGATTGGGTAGTTTTGGTTCCATTCTGGGCAGTATGGCCATATGAAACTATGGTATTACCTAAGAAACAAGTATCTAGAATGCAAGATTTATCAGAAAGCCAGCAAGAGACATTGGCAGTTATCATGAAAAGAATATGCACCAAATACGACAATTTATTTCAATGCTCTTTTCCCTATTCCATGGGCTGGCATGGTATGAAAATTATCAATGTACGCATAATAAAAATAAGTTTGGTATTGATTTAATTTGTTATTCTCAAAGGCGCACCAACTGGTCCATACTCAAAGCAAGATTATCCTTACTGGACTTTTCATGGGATTTACTTACCTCCTTTGTTACGCTCAGCAACAGTAAAGAAACATATGGTTGGCTACGAGCTACTTGCACAAGCACAAAGAGATTTAACGGCGGAACAAGCAGCAGAAAAATTAAGAAATTCACCAGAAGTCCATTACAAATATCCAGAAACAAGTTTAACTTGTTGTGAAATAGATAAATATTCTAAATGAATTAATTTACGTATAACAATATATTTTTGTAAATGTATGTGTTATACACATGTACAGTATTTATAAAAATATAACATCGCTTAATTATACATATACTAGTTTTATGAATAAAAAAACAATCAATAGCGAATCCATAATTACAATTTTATGTACAGCTAATATATAGGAATTTTGTTATCTACTTTCTTACTCCAGGCATGAATTCCACCAATTATATCTTTTATTTCAAAATTGCTCCCGTTAAATATTTGTTGAAGACTCTTTACTGCTTTTTGTGAGTCATTCCCCCTTCTACACACAACAAACACTAGAACAGAAACACGTGCATACAGAATATAATTATTTTATAAGAATATCGAAATTTTAAATATATACTTACAACTGATCTCATTGTGTTGTGTTTGCATCTCGTGTAACTTGTCTTTAACTAACGTTATATTTTCATTATTGTTAATATCCTTTAATGGTATATTTATAGAATTCTCTAGATGGCAAATTTCAAACTCTTCACGTGAACGTACATCGATTAACATGTGAACTTTCGTGCCTAGTTTCAGTGTCTTGTTATATTCTTCTACGGTTATTCTCTCATCTTTTTGTAATAAATTTAGTTTTGGATCTTTATCGGTTGCTTTAGCACCACAAAATTCCTCGTAGTCGATCAGTTTATGTATAGTAGGATGTTCACCACAAACGGCGCAGTTCACATTCTTGGCTCGCAAACTGATATTGCGAAATTTCGTTTCTAGACCATCAAATAATAGAAGTTGACCGGATAGCACGTAGGGAAGATCGAGTATAATCTTAAGAGTTTCTAATGCTTGAAGAACACCTATGGTACCAACGGCTGCAATTAATTTAGTATGATTAGTATCTCATAAAAATATAGAGAACACATTGAATGTAGAACAAATATTATAAATACCAGGTCCAAAGACACCACCGTCCCCACAATTTGTTACTGTCTCTGGCGGAGGAGGTTTAGGAAATACACATCTGTAGCAAGGTCCATTATAGTTAAATACAGATAAATGTCCTTCAAACCTCAATGCTGACCCAGATACTAAAGGTTTCTTCTTTAATACACATGCATCATTCAACAAATAACGGGTAGCAACATTGTCAGTGGCATCTAGTACCACATCATAATTTTTTATTATTTCTAAGGCATTACTGCTGTTTAGTTGAATTTTATATGATGTAACTTGAACATCTCTGTTCAAACTGAAATTAGTTTGGTATACTTAAATCACATTGACTGTAAAATTGGTAGATGTTTTTGAGTTTTAAGTACCGATTGAGATTTTGTGCAGCCACGTGTACTTTTGGTGTTCCAATACTTAATTCTTCATATAATATTTGTCTATGAAGATTATTAATTTCAATATCATCATAGTCAATTATTCCAATATGTCCAATGCCAGCAGATGCTAAGTATAATGCAGCAGGACAACCAAGACCACCTGCTCCAACTATTAATACTGCACTGTTCTTTAATTTTATATGACCTGCGATTATGGTATCGTTAAATGTCATAAACAAGTTCCAAGATATTTATTTTTTACTATATTGTTATAATATTTTATATATTTGTACCTTTAATGCCTATCTCTGGTAAAAAAATTTGTCTACTGTATTTTGATACCTCCTCATTACTTAAACCATACTCTTGTAGGATTTGTTTTTCGGGTTTTAAAGCAGCTAGTTGAGCTTCCTTCATGCGTAACAAATCACGCAACTCATTAATTTCATCAATCAATTTTTTCTCATTCATCTTTACTGGAAGATTATCTTCTTTTAGAAACTTCTTATTTCATTAAAAATGTTTAGAAGAAAGTTCGGGTTAAATGTTTCATTAAAAATAAGTGCTTAGTTAGGTTATATTAGCATCTAATCCTATCTTATTATAGAATTAAACAGTACATATGAAGTTCTAGTTAGATAAAATCTGCACTGTTTCTCTCATTTTTAGTATTCTATTATTAATCTTGAATATTGTCACGCCGGTGTTGAATGTCTAGCAACGACGTAGTTATATACGCGTTTTACACCCACTTCTCGGTTCAGATTTTAAGACGCAGATCGCACATTGCACTTTGTTTTGCGCTGGTGTACGTAAATAATTTAATCTCTTAATTAACCTTCAATCGTCCCAACGTAATGGATAAACCGAGGTTTTTATTATCTGTATTGTGTTGACAAAATTGTTTCAAAATATTCAATGTTGAAGTGATCTTTCTTTTTCTTGAGCTACATTAGTATTCAGAAGTACTAATTAAGTACGTAGAAGAAATCAATGTCTTCCTTTACTTTCTCAATGTTCGTTCACGACAACAAACATGTTAAACAAAATATGAATAACATACATTGATGAATACAACTGCAATTTTTTAAACTATTTCACATCAGTGTGAGAAATTGATAAGTAGTACAGTATCTGGAGTGGATTATGATTGTGTGGTTTCATAAATATTCAATGAGATTAAAAAAGAAGAAAACAGTTAAAGACGACAAACGATTAGAGACAACTAGTTTTTATTGAAAAATTGTATTCCATTCAATTTCCATGATCCTTAATTACGAATAAGTCTGCGTGTTTATTCAATGATTCGCACAGTAGGTATCGTGCGCAATAAGAATAGTACAGTCTTGGACAAAAGTAGGAAGCTGATGATTAATGTCACGGTCAGCGAGGTTCTCACTCTTGACAAGTGTACATAAGAAAAATCATGATTTTGTAAGCGAAACCGTGAACAGTGTTTTTCAAGAAATTTAATCGTAATAAACGACAAGATGGTGGAACCTATTTTCGACTATCAATTTCGTTTGATACTAATCGGTGACAGTACAGTCGGAAAAAGTTCGTTACTGAAATATTTTACCGATGGGAAGTTCGCAGAGGTACGCAACAACCTTAACCCATCATCATCAACAATGTTGGCGTGAATATGCATATACATTAATTTTAAAGAATTACAAAATTTGTCACACGTTTTTTGTCATATAATAAGTCGAATCCACTGTC